ATACAGCTCTTTACTTTTTTTTAATAGCTATTTAAGAATTTTTTTTCTAAAAGAATATCTAACATTGGTTGGAAAATTCATAGAAATCAAATATAGCTCTTTTAGAATTTTCTCTAACATGATTTCTGACTTTAACTTTGGATGGATAATCCATGAATAGCAAACACAGCTGTTTACAACATTTTTCTAGCAGCTGTTCTGATTTTGGTCTGAAAACTCATGAGCTATCCAGAGAGTTTTTAGAGTCTTTTCTAGCATGAGATAGCTGTGTCTTGCAGGGGGGTATCTCAAGCAGAGAGAGCTGTCTGGAAAGAGAGCTGTTTTGAGCAAAAACTATCTCAAGCTGACTACAGAGCAAAGAGTTAGGGAGCCATCTAACAGACTATAGGGCTGTCAGCTTGTACCACATGATTATTTTTTTTCAGCACTCTCAAGCACCTCTCCTCTCAGCAACCCCACTTCAAGTGGAGCCTAGTCCTTGGCATTTCCTAAAAAGTATCCTTTGTTTTATAACTTCTAATGCATTTGAAACAGTTGATGATAGTCTACAATGAGATGATTGAGGTATTAAAATTATCTGACAAATTTTAATTTTTTTGTTTTTTTATTTTTTTCATTTTATTATTACAATTTATTAAGTTTTTGGTTACCATACAAACAAGAGGGTTTCCTGTGATATTTTCACACATGTATATTATTACAGTTTTTTTCTTTTTCACCTCCCACTGCCTTTTCTCTGTTTTGCTAATCTCTTTCCAACCATTAAACAGCTCTTCCTTTTTCTTTCTTTTTTTTTTAATTGGTTATTTTACTTTTATACATTTCAAATATTATCCCCCTTCCAGGTTTTCCCTCCACAAACCTCCTATTCTCTCCCCCCTTTCCCTGATTCTGACGGTGCTCCCCTATACATCCACCGATTCCTGCCTCACCACCCTAGCATTCCCCTATGCTGGGGCATCAAGGTTTCACTAGACCAAAAGTTTCACCTCCCATTGATGCCAGGTAAGAACATTCTCTGATACTTATGCAGCTGGAGCCATAGGTCCTTTCATGTGTTTGGTTAGTGATTTAGTCCTTGGGAGCTCTGGGAGGTCTGGTTGCCCAATACAGATGTGAATTGCAACAAACCATCTGACTGAGCACAAGGACATCAATGGAGGAGTTAGAGGGAGGACATAAGGAGTTGAAGGGGTTTGCAGCCCCATATAAAGAACAACAATATCAAACAATCAGACTCCTGAGAGCTTCCAAGAACTAAACTAACAACCAAAGAGTACACATGGAGAGATCCATGGCTCCAGCTGCCTGTGTAGAATTATGTGATAAATTTTAAAGCAGACTTTATGATGAAAACTACCTCAAAAAAATGAGAGGTAAAGGTCTTTCTACCAAAGAAGTATTAATAAGGAGATGAAAATATAAGAACATAAAGTATAAGTTTTAGAACCTCAATAAACAATGGGTTGAGCCTCCAACATCCACATAAAAAACTGGGAGTGGCAATGTCCCTGTAACCCTACCACTGTTTGGCTGAAAGACAGGAGGACACTGGGATTTGATTTGCCAACCAGCCCTAACTTCAGTGAGATAACTTATCTCAAGGCAAAAAGATTGAATGAGATAGAGCCCACACATCCTCCTCTAGCCTCAGAGCATACACAAAGGTGGATGCCCCTGAATACACATAATCACAGCACACACAGGCACACACACACACACACACACACACACACACACACACACACACACAC